ACGGTGTCCTCATAGTGATAAAGAAATCTTGTTCTTATCTAATTTAATCACATAAGGGCATTTCCTATCTTCCTCGAATTCCAGCTTAATTTCCCTTCCCCACCAGCGATGATTGTTTATTTCTGGAAAACCGTCTAATGAAAATCTTTGATGGTTCATCTTTCAGTTTTTTAAGATATTATCATTTGGATTGGTTTTTGATTCCAAAGGCCGCTATCTAATGATCCTAAAAACAATTCGAGTTTATAAATAATTAAGTACTTTGACTCGGCGAGAAACGGGTGGCCGGCACTTTTTCAAAGTAATTTAACATTCGAACCATAGTATACATTGTTGCATTGCCAAATGACGACGTTTCGTTTTGCTTCATTACTTTTTAATAATTTTTCCTCAAACACTTCCTAACGAGCGCACAGGTTGAATTTTGGAATCTACAGTACTTTCGCTGATGCGACCTGATACTTTAAAACTTAGTAGCGAAAAAAACGGAAATCCTGTAATTAGGCCTTCCCGAATGTATTGTCTCAAAATGCAGACAAAGAAATCAGAGATATCTATCGGTAAAAGCTTCGGTGTTATACGGTTTACGCAGATTGAAACTTCTTAGCATAATTCATAAATAGCACTATCGCCAACAGAGATCTTAAGTGAATTGAACTGATGCAAGTAATTAGATTGGTCAACTAACTTGGACTAGGCTGATAAAAGAATTAAAACAATTATCGCTCTCTAACTCCGGATGCTTGTATCGCAGGCGAGTCTGTTCCGATTTATTACTGAACGTCCACGAAAATAATGAGATGCGAGTAGTAAAAAAAATGTTGTAAAAAGAGAATACTTTCAACCGCGAAGAAAGGCGTAGATTGGAAAAGTAACCTCCAAAAAGTTACGGGATATATTCTATGTCCAAGAACAGTGATGTTGCGATGTTACGGAGTAATGAGGCTACAGTTTTTGTTAGTCTTCCCAAAAAAAACTTCCTAAAAGTCCTTCCTAATAGTTTCAACTCTTGAAGCAAAAACCAATTTGCAAAAACGTTCAAAATATGTTTAAAAAATAAGAGTCTTCCGAATGTTTTTAGTTCCAATGTCCTCAAGTCAATGCGAAACATAGCCACCGTGACGTTGTCGATTTTACATAAGTATAGATTAAGACCTTAGACCTTGAAGGTGAATAACATGAGAGTATTTTAGTGTCCTGAATTTGTGCTGATAAGATATTTTAACTCTTAAGGTTATCTCTTCATTGTGGGATTTTTTTTTTTTTTTTCAAATTAAGGCCAAAAGATGTCTTTGTTGATTTTTTTTTTTAACGCATTCGTCAAAGTACATTTGGCAATTCACTCGAAGACCAGGCCCTCCAGCATTTAGCTGAGCTGAAAAAAGTGTGTAATTCAGTTTGGTGGGTTTTCAGTTGTTAAACAAAGATAGAACTAATCGAGATGATGCGAATTATACTGCAATACCTTGCCACGTGGAATATAACATGTGGGTTCTGCATGATAATTGCTTGAAAAAAAAATCCTTTGTCTTCGGTGATACCCCGAGAGAGACAGGAAGTATGTAATTGAAAACTTGCCTAGAGTGAAAAAAAAAAAGGCTTCGAAAGTGAAAATAATCTGTAACAGATAAATTAAGAAGCTGAATTCATAAGTGCTGTAAACGAGTTGATGGAAATGCTTGCAAAGTGATTTTGTAGCAGACTATAGAGAGCAAGTTCATTCGACATCCTGTTACGTCTTCTCTACTAACTGATAGATATACAGTTTTATCGAGGTGATAACGAATCCTGCGCGTTCTCGGCGACTTTTGTTAGAGCCTTAAATTCCAAATATAATTTGACAATGATAAAAAAAGGCTTCAATCTTATCTAAAACAGAAGCCGGCATTTTCTGCAAAAGTTAACTCATTCGGAAGAGTTCAAATTAGAGGGGAAAATAAAAGGATTATGTCGTCTGCAGGCCTTAATCTTTCAGTCGAAGTAAAGAAAACAAATACCAGTATTCTTAGAAAAAAAGAAGTCCTGCGCCGTGAATAAATATTTTCCTTATTTGATCCACCCTGTTCCTTTTATTTACCTTTTTGCAACTAGACTCTATCTATTTGTTGATCTAAACAGTCTAAAGCCCGCACGAGATACATCCCATTATGTTAATGACCTTGCAGATCTCGCTAAGGAATAAAGCGGAAAGCAACTCAAAGATTTTTAGCGATGCCAGACGTCGTTTTAAACCAGTTTAAAGAGCTGAAAGAAATAAAGGATATTCTAATTGTTACGAAATAAAGAATCTGCAAAAGCTTCTAGAAGAGAGCTTCTAGCGACAGGCTCTCAGAGGAAATTTGGAGAATTAAGATAGAAGTAAATGAAAGCGGTTACAAAGTGATCTCTTTGTGCGCCAGTGATTTTTATGGAAATTGGGCACACCTCGAAAACGCGCCTTTACAAGTTGATTAACAATGGATGCCACAAGGCCCATTCTCTTTGCATTAGATATAATTCGCTCTGATCTCTTAAAGTGTTCTTCAGCCACCTCTGTGCTTAAATTTATCTCTCACCAGGAGAAAAACAGCACGGGTAAATTTCATTCCAAGCTTTTGTAAGCTCGAAAGAAAGTCTTTCTGCGCAATTCTGCGCGCGAACGAAGCGTTATTTTCTTTCTTTTTTAGACAGAGCTTAGCTCAATTCCATGACAATTCATCCATAATTGGAACAATGCCTAGTCCTTTTTAATAACGGCTTTCAATTTTCTGAAAAGCGTTTCTCATTAAAGACTCTGGCTGTTTTCATTTTTATGCAAACACGTCGCACCCCGTCGGTAAACATTTTTGAACCATGAATATGTTAGCACAATGCTTTTTTCCCTCTTTCTTTCAAATTATAGCTGTGGGAATCAAATGAAGTCAATAAGGGGTCTTCATAAATCGCATTTTTTCTCGCTTGACTTGTACACAAGAAATATTTTTTTTGAAATATGACATAGGGGCTTGGAATATTGAAAAGCCACATTGCTGTTTGAGGTCCTTGGGCGCATCAAGATCTGCGATCGAAGACAATTACAATGGAATATTCAATTAAGTAACGTATTAAAGAAAAGCAAAAATCAGAATTAACTGCCTTTATTTACATGTGTCAGCTCAGTTTTGCAGAGATGAAAATATTGAACTTCTTCAATGATACAACTGGAAAGTCTCATGTATTGTGTTTACTTTGAAAAAAATCTTGTTATTAGAGCGGCCTGACAAACTTCAAATCTTTCAAAGCTTGCAAATCAACTACAGATTCCTTTTGTTCCGGTAAATTAGATCGCATAGAGCGGCCATGATTCTTTTTAAAACGTTCACAATGGTTTCCATAGAATATATTACTAAAGAAAGAAGTTTTTCTCTTTCAACTTTCCAAAGAAACACATGCTCGAATAAGCAGAAGGGTTTTGTCTCTTAAGGAATATACGGTCATCAGACAAACCGAGTTAATAAAATGGTATTTAGCGCTAAAGTCAAAACTGCAATATAAATCATTCGCAGTAGCTGATACAAATTATGAAAAAGCTGGTTTGATAAATTGATTCAATTATCAAAAATAGTTTGTTTAAAAACTTGTGGTAGCCGGCCTGGCTAAAAAAAAATCACACTTCTATATGGAGTTTAAGAGGCGAACGTTGGTCAAACACAAAAATCGCATATAATGTGGAAGCCATCGTAAGCGAAATATATGCATATTATTCAAACACAAGCGTGCAGACACGTGCCAAACGTCAAGTTTAAGCTGGTTTTATGTCAAAACGCTACAAAGGACTGGTTTTAAACGACCGACTGAGCACGCCTTTGAGGCGCGAGCGAAGAGGCGCCTTTATTCACTCAGACAAATTTAAATATCCCATAGTCTTGGAGGGGGACCATTGACTCAGAAACAGCTGTTGATAACAAGAGAATTCGCGGGAACTGGCTACCACATAATGAATAGTAATCAACAAGCAGAATCAGTGATCATTTTCGAGTATTTTTTGACTGAAAGATCAAGAGTCAAATAAGCCTTCATATTCTATACGCTTAGGGTGAATTTTTTTTTTTTTTTGGCGGAACAGAAAAAAAAATCACACTGGCCTTTACAAACCAGACCTAGTTGCCGATAGATCTTGGGATTGTGGGCGACTTTTGTAGGTAGTTAGCTTTCAATCGTTGGCCATGACATCATTGACAGATATCGAGTGGAAATTAATCGCAAAGGCTTAAGGCCATTGGTGCAAAGTAGAATCGAAAACCCATCAATGCGGAAGATAAACAGGTGGATTTTAAAGCGAAAGAAACAAAATTAAAACAAGACTTAAACCAAGTTTCATTGATTGATTGAATCGTTCACTGAATCGCAACAGATCAGGTAAAACTGTCTCGTGGGTAATAATTATCTCGGAAAAGAAAAGAAAAAAGAGATTCTCTCTGCGCACAGAACTGGTGCGAGAGACAACAAGAACACTAGTATTTGACAGAGGGCAATAGCCGCTAGGTTATTTTTCAAAACTACGCAAATGAAGTCAAGGCGCAAATGGTTAGAACTGAGCTATAAGAGATGTCTTTCCATTTTATGTATGTACCGAACAAGACCCTCATGCAGTATCACACAAGTGAAACGACGATCTATGAAAATAAAGCCATAATCATGTTCATTAATTTCGCGTTTCTTGGTTTGCAAAGGAAATCATTGCTTAGATTAAATCGATTGTAGAACAGATTGAAAATGACCCGACATCTTAATGAATGGGTCTGTGAGAGTTTCACTCGACGTTTACGCCGGTAAAATATTAAGCAATTTCATGTTATCCAGCAGATAAGACAAAGCTGGTTTGTTTCATATATACCAGTTTCTTCTACCCTGTGTAGAAGTGATCTCTTCGCAACTGCACGTAGAAACTTGATTCTAGAAAAATACACCGGTTCGAAATTATCACCGATGTGTCGATCAACCGACCGCAAAGTTTTACAAAACTGAAAGTTATGACTTACTTGGGTCTATGCAGACTCTGCCACAATGTTCGTGGCACGCACATTTCCACTTTGGCTTCCAGCACCCTTTATCATTCTCACATTGTATTAAACTCTTACAGTGTTTTTTAAAAACACTCGACACTAGGCGCGGAGTAGGACATCGATTGGCTTGGCCCTCCCGTGATTTAAGACGTCTATAGAACTGCCCGACGGCTGGAAAAACATCAAATAACACCGGTCATCGTTTACGATATGAACGACATTGGGTTGTACACTCAGGCTCAAAAATTTGACCAGAAATCCCCTGTTCAGCTATACCTGTTTTTCCATTGATGTAAATCGTCAAAAAACACACAATATTCAGTATGTTCCACATAGTACGCGCCGAAGCCCCATTAAGGGGGAATTCCAACCGGCGAGTGCAGATCGTTTTCGACGAAATCTGTCTTGCCGACTCCACATAGTCAATGAACAAATGTGGTCTGACAAGGAGCGAACATTCAAAAACCCAGAATTCAAAACTTTGAGTAAAATTGACTTATTGTGTAATCACGTGGTCGCTGCGGACCAATAAGAGCTCACCCTCGCGTGGAGCGAGGCAGGTGGCAGGAGAAATGAAGTGTCTTATTTGCCGCGGATTTCTGCCCGAACATGAAGGAACTAAGTGTGAATAATTAAGCGAAAGTAATTAATCGTTATTAGATGGTTTTGTTTCGTCGATACATGTTACGCGTGGCGATCACAATCGCCATTGTTAACCAGGTGGAAGGGACACGTGCTTCTCACGGCGCCCGCGAGCATGCCTGGCGACCAATTGTAAGCACAATGGACTTGTTTAATGGAGGTTTGCAAACAACATACTCCGTACACAATAGGAGTTGATCGCTTGCCGTGGAAATAAGCTTTAAATACCCTCGTCAAAGGATTACTGTTTTCAGAATACCTTGCAGTTCAAGAGGTAGCGCGCTTGCAGTTATCTAAACTGTTTATGTTTTGTTCTTCGATTTCGACGTAAATGGGAAACGCACATTGTCCTCTTGAGATGGTTTCAATTCTTCATTAAGTGACTTTCCACTTTCGATAGCGAAAACATGTCGACCTATACAATACCGCTTTTAATGTGTGCCCTCTTAACGTCTAGATCTCGCGGGTATGAGTCGAAAAGCAAGGAATAAATTTTAAGTTGAACCTCTTAAAAACCCTTGAAAAATTTGGATAGCCAAGATGATCAAACATTAGGGAAACGTGTTTTCGGTAAGAGTGCGAGATTTTTGATGGAATGGAAAGTAGCAAGCATACATGTATCTGAAGTATATTTCATCGAATTTAATTTCTTGCCGTTTGATTTATTGATGACTTGATTTTAAGTTTTTTCCTATTGAGTTGAACAGAAGAAAAAAAACCGTTTTCAGGCGACGGATTGCTAATTAGTCGAAGCAGCTGCCCTTAATTTGAATGAAAAAAAAAGAAACGATTGATTCAATTTGAATTTTGGCCATACTGCCCTAACTGGCTCAATTAAATGTTTAAATCTACCACGCACTTAACAATGGATAAAATTTTACGCCAGTGGACTAAACAATTAATCCGTCAACGTCAACCAAATTTAAAACTTGGAAAAGTTGTAAACAAAAATAATCGGTGAAAGTTCTTTAAAACGTTTGTGATCAGTCAAAATTAAGATTTCTTTAAAATCGATTTAATTCTACTCCTTAGGTTTAAAAACAAAAGGAAATTAGCATCCATTTGAATACACGCCAATGTAAGCCCTGGCACTGAAATATTTTTCCAGCAGGAAATCATATTTCGGCATATGTAACAGCTAATACAACATCATAACTAATGCTTTATATGCAACCAGCTTTTGCAAGGAAAAGAAAAACAGTGAAAACATTTTAATTGAAAAAGAATTGTAATGTGAATTGGATCTCATAGCATCGCAGACAAACAATGCAGTAGTTCCTTTGTTAGGAGCTTTTGAAACACATGGTAAATTGATGAAAGGTGAAACTGGTATGGTCTTTGACTCGTCGTGGTTTCCGCATAAATTGCTGAAGACTTCTGCCTTGATCCTCACAAGCAGCTAACATAATGTAAAGATTAAGTTTGGATGAATGAACGAAGAAGAACTGAACCCGACAGACATATGCTATAAAGGAATTTTCCATAACAATGAAAGTTTCACGAGTAAAAGTGTATTATGAACAGTTGACATGTAATTTTTCAAACAAATGACACTTTTTCAAAGTTTCTTTTACTTCGCCTCTTTACATAAAAAAGAAAATAAAAGAAGGGATAATATACTTAAATTATATTCGTAGCCAGCGACCCCTTCCATTGAAGTGGTTGCCGCATTAAAATTGCAATACACCAATTTGAATTGGTTCGAAAAAGAAAACTTTCAAAACATTTCGTTGAGAACACCAAGGAGCTTTCTGTGAAAGAGTTTAAAACAAAACAAAACAAAACAAAAACGAAAACAAAAAATAAACAAAACAAAACAAGAAAAAAAAAAACACATAAGAGTTTACTTGCTTACCAATTCGAGTTGTTCCGCTAAAGATATTTCGAGTGACATACCCTGCATAGCTTCATATATTTAAAGGGGTTAAGTTTCTGAGGAGACCGTGCTGCTGTGTTCGTGACCATCAACTGAATTAATAGTCCACTTGATAATGAAAATTGGCCAGTGTAAAGAATTCCAAAGCGTTAGCCTGTCCCTCTGACGAAAGGGGTAGCGCTCGAAACGTCAGCTTAAGTACTCTTTACGGTGGCGAATTTACGTTATCAACTCAGTTATTGAAACCAAATTATCTATAAAATAAATGCACAAACAGGCAGGAGAAAGGAAGATTCTGTTCGATTTGCTTGCAAGTGTTAAAACGGGACAAGTAATTGTGGACAATTGATGCCTATCATGATAGACTGACCCCATTAAGAATAAAGAGAATACGATTCACCCTAGCAGACGTATGACCAGTGTTTATTTTGAATATCCCCCAGGCTCTGCAAGCTTTACTAGTGAGAAAAATCCTGATATCAAGTCGAAATGTATGGAGAGTGGATGAAGCAGTTTTAGAAGACTAGAAAGAACACCGTCACAACAAACAAGATTCTGGCTGAAGATTGGAGTCATGTTTCCAGGAATCTCTTTATTCCCGGCAAGACCCGGATCATATCCATGTAGGCAGGCCATAGAGTTCATTCAATTAAAATCATTGGTAGAACTGCTTCACTAAACGATTAAGATGCTTACAGCCCTTTTCGATTAATTGTAAAACCATAACAAAGTTATCACAACGAACAGCCAATCAGTAGGAAGGAAAATACTCTAAAGAGCCAATGAAAACTTAAAGTAAGAACAAAGGCTGTTAGTTTCGAAAGAAACTGTTTGGGGCTGCGTCGGTGGGGGTAACGAAATAATTTGGAAATATCAACAAAGTTGAAGTGGCTTTTCATTCCAGTAATTTATTCTTGTTTTTCTCGTTGCCATGTTCCCACCAATAACGTAGCTCCATTTTCCACCTTTAAAAGCACGCACAACCCACAATTCCTCTATTCGCTCCGACGAAGGGCTAACGCTCGAAACGTCAGCTTTTGTAATCGTTACGGTGGCCAATTTACCATTTCAACTTTGTTGATATATCCAAATTATTTCGTTACCCCCACCGACGCAGCCCCAAACAGTTTCTTTCGAAACTATCAGCCTTTATTCATTTGTTTTTTTTGATGAAAAACACGCTACAGGTAGGTTTACTTGAAAGGCGAAGTGACGAGAGAGGCTTTATTCTTGATATGTTCACAATTAATTGAAGGCGTTCCAAGTTTGTGCTGAAAGTTGGTGTTGAGCTGAAATGAATTAGCCTAATTTGTTACAAACATGAACCACTCCTCAACACCGACAATCATTTAGGTAGAAACAGGCTTGTGCACGATAACCAAAAATACCGCAACGATACTCGATTTCTG